TGACTAGGAATGTAAACTCTCTTACTGCTCAGTTACATAGAAAAGTACACAGCTCAACTTAGGACCTATCTTCAGGATGTTCTTGTATGATTCATCCAGTTGTCCCTCCAGCCATTTTTTAAATGGTAATAGCCACTTGGTGTTTGTATCTCTCACCTCTGAGACAGTCTCCCCATTTCAACCAGAGATGATTCTGATATGGTCACCAGCTTAGATGGTGAGGATTCTATAGCATAACTTGTTTATCCCTGTGTTTAGTCCCCAGCCCTGACTTCAGTTTCCATGCCGATGAGTTCCTGGAAGTCTATGTCTCTGCCTCTGAACATCCCAACCACTTCTGGATCCAAATCATTGGCTCCCGCAGCCTGCAGCTGGATAAGCTTGTCAGTGAGATGACCCAGCACTATGAGAATAGTCTAGTGAGTTGCCATAGGGACAGGGCTGGGTTTGATGAAAAAGGGGCCTATCTCTTTTTCATTGTGATATGTTCTTTTCTTTTCCTGGGAAGCAACTACTTGTTTGTTCTTCCTTCTGGTACTTCCTGCTTATCTGTTTTTGAGCCTGCCCATCCTAACCTCCCATCCTGATCCTCATCCCCATGTGCAGCCTGAAGACTTGACTGTGCATGTGGGAGACATTGTAGCAGCACCTTTACCTACAAATGGTTCCTGGTATAGAGCTCGGGTCCTTGGCACCTTGGAGAATGGGAACCTAGACCTCTACTTCGTTGACTTTGGAGATAATGGAGATTGCCCACTGAAGGACCTCCGGGCACTCAGGTCAGTGTGGAGGCCAGGGTGGAGTCCCAGTTGTTAACTCAGCCTTGGCCATAGCTGGTGATGTGCTCTTGGCACTCATCATGTAGGGGGATTGGGAAAAGAACCGATTTACAGAGAGCAGATGATTATCTTCTCCAGCTGGGTTAATTGGTGATCTCTAGAAACAAGGACTATAAGAGACCCTTCTGGCGCTGGGATTCTAATTTCAGTTTCTTTCACTTTAGGAGTGACTTCCTAAGCCTTCCATTCCAAGCAATAGAGTGTAGTCTGGCACGGATCGCCCCCTCAGGTAAATTAGTCACATGGCCTATTGACCTTGCCTCCACGTAGAATAACTTTCATAGGGCACATGGAAGGAATTCTCACATTCCCAGACTTTATGAGTTCTGGGGGCTCAGGTGTCTTTTCCTCCCCAGCAGTAGAAAGCAGCAGCCTGGCAGGCAGACATAGGTGCCTTCTAGAGTAGAAAGGGGTGGTTCCAATTTCCCTCCAGGGTGTAATCTCACCCCGTCAGCAGGGACCCCTTCTTAGGTTCTCCCTGCAATCTTTTACCAGGTGAACAGTGGGAAGAGGAAGCTTTGGATGAGTTTGACAGACTCACTCACTGTGCTGACTGGAAGCCCCTGGTGGCCAAGATCTCCAGCTATGTCCAGACTGGGATCTCAACTTGGCCCAAGATTTACTTATATGATACTAGCAATGGGAAGGTACGACTGGGGTCCACTCATTGCTCACTGTCTCTTCAGTATATTTATAGTCTCATTCACTTTTTCTTTCCTAGAAACCCTTATCTGATACTACTCCTACCTCGTAAGATCCTGCTTACTGTCCCACTAAAGGAATGTCTTTGAAGTATCCTAACTCTTCTGTCCTAGTTCCTCAGGTATTCCCATCCCTACAGAGAGAACATCATTCCCTTTTCATTTTCTTCTCAGAAACTTGATATTGGGTTAGAATTAGTTCGTAAAGGATACGCAGTTGAGCTCCCGGAAGATGTGGAAGAAAACAGAGCTGTCCCAGACATGTTGCATGACGTGGTGAGTGAGCCATTGTGGCTACATGCAGGGTGCTGCTTCAGGGCAGGTCTCGCACCTAGAGAGATAGGAGGGCTTCTAGTCCTGCGGACATTCTGTGGAGGGCGTTCCTAAGGAGTTGCTCCACAGGTTGCTCATTGTGTCCCTCTTGGCGGCCAAACTCAACTGCCTTAACCAGATCCTGTGGGCAGAATGATGGGGGTGGCCTCTCCTTTCCCACCAGCCAACACTACGTTCTTCCTTTCTCTCTTGTCTTCATCCTGCAGGCCACAGAAACCGATGTCTCTCTCGGCAGCGTGCTCGCTGAGACCAAGAAGAGCCCTGGAGAGATAGCAAATACCCTGTCCTGCCTCAGCTTATCAGGTACAAGCTGCATTTCCTCCCTAGAGCATCTTTGGAAGTTACTGGTTTTCAGTGATTCTCTCTAAACCGGGAATGATGTGAAAGCTTGGCTCTTAACCAAAGTGATCACTGAGCACCAAGAAGCCCATTTGTCCCTGAGTCTCAGTGGCCATGCCTAACTTGCTCTCCATCCCTGCTAAGCAGAAGCTGCCTCCATATCTGGTGACGACAACCTGGACGACGACTACTTACTCTGAAGTTGGCTTCTGCCGCCTCAGCCGCCTGCTTTGCCGCGTGAGTGCAGCTCTCCTCTGTCTGCAGCCACCGGAACGTAACAAGGGTGACCACCGGGGCCTTGCCTTTTGCTCTCTGCCATAGCCTGTCTGAACACTGCTCTGCAGCTGAGTTCCTGCAGCTTCACTCTCAGGCTGAGCCCGTTCAAGCGTTTTGTGTCTCTGTGTGTTTGTGTCTTTGGCAGGATTTGGTGCCTGGAGAGAGGAGCCTATGATAAAGAGATCTATGCAGTCCTTCCTCTGTTACATACATGATCTGGCTTGCTGTGGACCAAATGCTTTCTTTCCGTCTGTTGGACTACCAGAAAGAGTGTGGGGTAGAGGGGGACAAGTACATGTCCCCACTCCACCTGCCCGACCCCGTCTTCTTCCAGATTTTGCTTCCAGGCTGCTCAACATCTGGCTCACTGTTTTCTGCCAGGCATTGATCTATGCTTCCGCAAGGCTGTGTCCTTTTTGAGGCTGGGAAGCAGCCAGGGTTTGGTCACTGGAAGTGATGATTCTGCAGACTTCTGACTCACCTCATCAGGTGACTGTTAGTTAAAGGAGGTCTTTGGCGAACTCAAAGACTGCAGTTGAGTCAGGAGGCAGAGGCAGAAATCAGTATAATTCTATTAAAAAGCCTCAGGAAATGGGAAGAGAACACTGCCTCCCAGCCTTAACTGCTGATATGTTATTGGAGATAGGTTTTTGAAACAGTTGCTCCAGCTATTTCCCTGTAAACTTTGGTTAAAATACAAGTAGGCAAGGAGAGAGCAGCTCAGGAAATGTTCTAAAGTGCTAGTGTAATATCTATATGTGTATGGACGTCCATAGAGTGAAAGAGAACTTATATAGCTGTTTGAATCATTAGGGGGATTCTTTGCTGAATAAAGTTCTCAAGAAAATTATCTAAAACTAAATGTTGGTTGAATCAAGGTGGAAGCAGGCCTGTGGGTATCTTCTAAACTTAAACCTGGTAGAATTTGTCACATGCTTCACAGGGATGGCCCATCTTTGAAACAAGTGTCCTTCTCATGCACAGATCCTATCCTTTCCCTAAAGTTACTTCAGAATTAACCATTCACTAAGAACCAGACCAATTTAGGTTTAGGTTATATAAATAAGAACCCACCGGGGTTTCTGGATAGCTCAGTCAGTTAAGCGTCTGATTCTTGATTTCAGCTCAGGTCATGATCTCAGGGTCTTGAGATCAAGCCCCGCCTCAGGCTCCTTGTTCAGCTGGGATTCTGCTTGAGATTCTCTCCCTCTGCCCCTTCCTCTCCCCCTCCCCCCCACCCTACTCACATGCATGTGTACTCTCTCAAGTAAAATCTTTAAAAAAAAAAAAAAAAGACCCTACCCAAACTAGATATTTGGAAGAAGAGGCCTGGGTTCTGGCAGATCTCCACTATGTGAACTTACTGTAAGACCTTTGGGAGCCATGTCCTCATGTCTCCCCGCATTGGGGGTAGTAGTGTGCGGCCAGTGAGCACTGTGAAGAGACTTGGAAGCAGACATTATAAGCAGCAACGTGGGTGGTGGATTAATGGCAAATGAACAGGGAGGGCTTTTTAAGGATCAGTAAGGTGAACTGCAAAACTTAAAACTAGCACATAAGGATGCCTTATGCAGGGTTTTAAATCTAGGAATTAGGCCTTCCCATATACTGCATGGCGACTATGTTTTCCCATAGCCACAATTTTCAAAGTATATTTTCTCAGAAAAATCTCAGTACCATTTAGCAGAAAGGCTCCAGTGAAGGAGCATCTCTGATGAGTAGCTTATGGGGTCTTGGAAGAATCAGTGAAGGACTGCCATTGATCTGGTAAGGTTTCAGACCTCGGCTGCAGTGAACCCACCCCTGAAGCAGGCTTGGCCCTGGGGTTGGTGCTGCTCGACAATCAGGTCATGAGGCTCACTAGTCACCAGGCTCCTTGGCCCCTTGGCAATTACCCTTAAGTAGAGGGGTCCCTGATACAAATCATTCATAGGACTTGGTGCTCAGGAAAATGAGTGATGCCTCATTCCTGACTGCAGTCTGTTACTGTGAATGCTAAGTCTATCCCTTTAATGCGGCTTTTAAGTCTTGCCAATCAGATGGGTTCCTTATTCTTTCAACACAATCCTGTACTTTTCTTGCTGTGTGGAATTTCCTCTTCTATGCTTACTTCTCATTTTGTCTGTTGAAATCCTCCCATTGAGCCAAAGCTGTGGGATCCAGTTACCTTCTTGGATTTTCTCCACATCCAAAGAGAAGGAATTAGTATTTCTCTAATTTGAACTGAAATAGATGGACAAAAATCTCCCAACAAGGCTTCTTTCTGAATTCCATAGTGCCTGGTTTTTGCTCTTGGCAAGTACTCAGTACAGGGTTAGGATAAGTAAATGGCTTTGGGAGTAGGGGGGAAGGCAAAGAAACCTAAAATCCTTGGCTCCCTTCCCTCTCTGGTGCAGGTCCCTCTGATTTTTTTCCATCATTAAATGTTTATCCTATAGTGAATTCAGCTCTATAAGGGTCCCATTCCACTCCACTCCAGCCAACTCGCTTTCCCCCCAAGAAAAGTGAACACTTGAGGATTGCACTACCCTTTATTCCTAAGATGGAAGGTGTCCTGCATCACATCCTGGTTCCCATTTATCAAGTTCCCATTATCCCCTCAGCAGGAATAAGTATATTCAGGGAGGCTCATTGGAGAGGTGGCCAAGGTCCCTTTCAAGGGGATACACCATAAAGATGACATTGTCCCAGGGAGGGAGGGCAGGGTGATCGGGTCTGACCAACTCAAAGCCCATGTAGCTGAAGGCCCGTAGCAGGGCACCTGTGAAAAGAGAAAAAAAAAATAGAAAACACTCTGAGGTTCCATACAACTATTCCCCCCAGATTTGGCTTCCTTCACTGGGGAGTGGCTGGGGGAAAGCCGTGTAGTGTAGGCATTAGGGTGACGTGTTGTGGACTAGCTGACTTAGACTTCAACCATGGCTCTAACATTTACTTACCTTTGTAACATTCTACAAGTTAACCTTTCTGAACTTCAGTTTTCTCATTTGTAAGATGGGGATCATAGAACCTTCCTCACAGAATTTAAATGAGCTGATGTTTATGAAGCCCAACACAATGATGGTGTAGTAAACTCTTGACCATCTGTCTTCTAACAAGTATGAGGGAAGAGGTGGTTTCTGCAACATGTGCTCCAAGCATCTGGGTAAATATATTCCTATCCTCCTGGCCCTGTGTTCAACCCCTTCACACTGTAGGTGTTTAATATGTTTGAGGTCCTTTCTGTCCCACCAGCTACATGCCTTGAATGGTTCTGTGTTAATTTCACTAGTGCTTGTTCAGTCTGGCTTTTGACCTCTACCTGCAGGGCCTTCCTCATAATCCCAGTGTAATCTGAATGCACAGAGTGCTCAGTGCCTTCATTTCCTTGCGGGGGAGGGAGGGGGTTAAATCCCTGAAATGCCTATGAGCACGTTCTCTTCTAAAGAGTGGGGAAGAGTCTCCTACAAAGGAATAAGTTGCTGTCAGCTGCTTCAGCACCATGGGCCAGGAAGGACAGCTGATCCCCACCTCTGTCATTCCGGTTGTTTTGGAAGTTTACGAACACGGAGTCCACATTGGTCTTCTCCTCCACATACTCCAATGTTGCAGTCAAACTAGGGGCCAGAGGGAAGAATCATGGTTAATATTTAGTGAACTAAAAATCCAGACCTCTGCTTGGAGTAGAAGAAATCTTATTGTTCCATTTTTCCTGACCTAAGCCAGGAAGTGAAAGTTGATGAACTTGCATTGATAGATTGTCCTCTGAAGGCCAGGGATTGTACACGATAAGACTGACACCTGAAGGGGCCTGGAGAGAGGAACTGCTATATAAAGACAAACAGCTGGAAGTCACGTCCTGTTACTCAACTATTTAAGGATCCTCACTTCTATGTTTCTGAACTGGAGTCCAGCAGCCTCCCATGGGCTGTGACTCCTCGAAGCCCAGATTTTGGCTCAGCTCATGGGCTTGTTTGCATGCCAGTTCAGTGGTGTGAAAGTATCTAGCTTCTGAATCAACCCTCAGTGGTTAGCATACCCACTACCTGATTATGACATAAAAGAAGGAAAGCCCCTCCCGCTTTCCCTGCTTTTCCATCTGGGCTCAGTCACCTTTCTCGGTTGCCTTGATCCAAGGCCCGATATGGGATATCCAGGAAGAGTCGATGGTCACAGAGAAGGCCGTGCCAATGGGCAGAGGTCTGGGGGGTGAGGCGGAAATGGAAGTCTAACTGCACTGGGTCCTGATGGAGCAGGGGGTCAGTAGCCAGCACCGTCAGGTTCCCAGCCTGGAAGAGGAATAAGAGAGTAATAGTCTTCTATTCTCATCTCGACCTCAATTCAGATCGCAGGCTGATTTGGCTGGGTCTGAGAAAGCTAACAGGGAGCTGACGGAGCCTGGGAGAATTGGAGCCAAAGTCTTTATCCCTTAGTCCTAGGACCTAAGTCTCTATCGTGGAGCTTTCCTTGCTATCAAACAATCTAGAAAGGAGTCAGTGCAGTGGCAGTATTACTGCCTGTTGACCTCACCTGAGAGGCGCACCAACCGTTCAGAAACATATCAGAGGGCTGCTGCTTTAAACAACGCTGTCATTTGTTTACTGTCTCACTGATAATGCTCTTCCACTTTTTTCCATGATAGGGGTTTTCTCTGAATTCTATTTCTCTTTTAAAATGTAGAGGTCACCCACAGGCATGTTACTGCAGCAGGATAGAGGGGCAAATTGAGGAGTTCTGGTTTCTAGTCCCTGCTTAGCAGTGAAACAGCTTTATGTCCCAGAAGCCTTACTACATTCTGCTCTTTGTTCCCACCTCCTCTTTTCCCATTAAGCTTTTCACCACCAGCTCTGTGATCTTGACTTGATATCTCTGGGCCAGAATCCTTGTTTCTAAAGCAACTAGCTGTTATACATGAGCTCCAAGATCTACAATTTATTTTCCAACTAGCCAATAATGCCCCTTCTTCACAAGGTGTCACTGAAGCAAGCTAGGGGCTTCCCCAGCACAGAGGCCACTTACCGAGTATAATTCTTTAAGCTGGTCGTGATCACCCTGCTTGGTGCTTCTGACCACCTGGAGGCCTGCTAGGGACTCAGGAGCACTGAAGGCAGGAACGGGGCCGGAGTGTCAAGTCCTCCCGTTCCCTATAAGTGATGCTGGTTGGGAAAATGGGCCCAAATTAGTTTCCCTCTGTGTCTGAGAAGGAGAGAGGCTCATAACTTCCAGGAACACCGGACTGGGCTCCGGCACTATCTTCGGTATCTTCTGTGGACCAGCCTGTTTCCATTCTCCCAGGCCAGCCAGATGGAAAAATGTTAAAGTTCCATGCCAGCCTTCCACCCCCTTTTGCTATTATCTCTTGCCACTTGGGAATTTCCTTCAAATTCTTTTATTTTTCCTGACGGTTTATATAAACACCTACAAGTAGAGATGAAAACAAGTACCTTTTATAACAACAAGGCAGCATCTTCTTCCGGAGGGTGATCCGGTATTTGTAACAGTAAAGGTAATAGGCGTATGGTGACCAGATCGGGTAGAGGTAGTTCCGTGTTTTTCCCCTCTTGATATAAGAAAGGGAGAAGGCAGAGGGGTGTAACCTGTTACAAGGCAGTTTCTCAGTTCAGTGCCTCCCTGCGGCAAAGTGAGGTTCAGAGATGGGTGGCAGAGGTTCACACAACCTGGTGTCATTGTGACCCGGTGGGCACTATGACATGGGCAAGGGGGTTAGCCCTTATGTCACTTCAGGACTCCACTCTGCTGGTCCCCTACCCCACCCAACCAACCCCCTTATCCTGTTCATCTAGTAAGTACTTCCTGGCTGTACCAGTGATTAGAATACTTTAGCTTCTGTACTGATTGGTAAACAGCCCTGCATGAGCACTTGTCAAGCGCACCCAACCTGGCTCCTTATTCTGGCATATGCACTCATGTGTGTGCACACTCTCGTGTAACACACACACATATACACATCCCACTTGAGCAACAAACTGGTTGGTGTCTAACACTGTAGGCTTCCAAGGCCCTGATCCAATGTCTGACCTAATACATTGGTTCCCAGTTCCTATCAATTCAATAGTTTTATTATATCCCTACCTTTAATAATCCAGGGGTGCTACACATTGTTGAATTATCTCATTGCCTTGTAGGGTAGAAATTGCAAACAGCCTCCAGGAGCCAGGACAGCTAATGGAATTAGTGGAGCTGCTGGGTGGGGCTGTAGCAAAATGGAAAGCTCATACCCTAAAAGAAGCTGACAACTCAGCTCCATCCAGTTGTAGAAATGCAGACTCAGTGGTCCCAGATTGTATGATTTTTCAACATAAAACGGAAAGATAGATTTTTGTGTTAAATTCCTCCACATTTTTTAACTAGTGGCTACTAACTCAAAAGACAAAAACTGTTCATGAAAAAAAGTCAACATTGTGAGCAAAATTTGATTCTGGGACCACCAGTTTGAGACCTCTGCATATTCATTCACTCATCCATTCAACAAATATTGATTGAGGGCCTACTGAAAGCCAGGCAGTACTCTAGGTGCTTGGGATACACCAGTAAACAAAACAAAGATCCCTGCTTAATGGAACTTAGCTTCTAACAGTGAGAAGACAGGGGCAGCCTGGGTGGCTCAGTCAGTTAGGTGCTCTGACTCTTGATTTCGGCTCAGGTCCTGTAGTGTGGGGCTCCCCGATCAGCAAGAAGTCTGTCTCCCTCTCCCTCTCCCCCTGCTTGCACTCTCTCTAATAAAAAAAAAAAAAAAATCTTAGTAAGAAGACAAACTATAAACATAATAAAATTTAGTATGTTAGATGATAACTGCTATGGAGAAAAGAGGATAAAGGAAGATCAGGAGTGTGAAGGGGGTGGGGCAGGCTGGAGAAATAAATAGGGTAAAAAAAAAAAAAAGAAAGAAATAGGGTGATCCACATAGGCTTCAATGAAAAGGTGACCTTTAATCAAAGATTTAAAGGTCGGGGAGTTAGCCAAGCCAACACCTCGGGGTGAGAGCATTCCATGCCTAAGCTACAGCCAGTGCAAACGCCCTGAGGACAAGGTGCCTGGTGTTTTCAAGAAACAGGGAGGGCATGGTGATGAAGTCAGAGCGCTAATTGGCCAGATTAGGGAGGCCCTGTAGATGACTGTATGGCCCTTTCCTTTTGTTCTGAGTAAAAGGGGAAGTCACTGCAAAGTTTTGGGTAGAGGGATGACATGATCTGATGTATGTTTTTTAAGAGATCCTGACTGTTGCGTTGTAAATAAACTGCAGAACACTAAGGCAGATTTGCTAAGAAACTACTGCAGTGATCCAGGAGAAAGATAGCATCTTATTCCAGGCTGAAGCACTGGAGGTGGTGGGAAGAGGTTGGATTCTGGAAATAGTTTAAAGATAGAACCCCCAGGATTTCCGGGAGTCTGAGAGAAAAGTTGAGTCCAAGAACTGAAAGAATAGTTTCCATCAACTGAGATGGGGAAGGCTGCAGGTGAGGCAGTTTGAGGCTGGGTAGAGACGGGTTTAGTTTGAAGCATGTTAACTTTGAATTGTCCGTTAGATATATAAGGAAAAGACAAGCGCCGGGCTATTCAAGTCTGGAGTTCAGGAGAAGTCTAGGAGAGAGAAAGAACTTTGGAAGTCACTGAGACTGAATGAGGTCAAAGCGGGTGTGTATACTGAAAAGAGTCAAGATGGGAAGACTGTCCTAGGGGCACTCTATAGTTCGGAGAAAAGGAGAAATCAGCAAAGCAAACTGTGAAGAAAACTGACCAAGCAGGAAGAAAACAGAAACAAAATTGGTGTCCTGGAAGCTAAGTGAGGCAAGTGTAATTATTGGAGGAGTGAGGACGTTTACAGGTCAACTAACAGGATGCGTAGAGCACCTTCACACAATGTCTGCTGCCAAACAGACCCTACTCATTCCATCTATGTGGTCTTCTCTCCACTACCGAGATCCTCCACAGAACAGTCTGGACCGGGCTGCTGAGGGAGTGGAAGGCAAGCTGGGGACAAAGCACAAGGTGGGGTGGGGGTTGTGGGTGTCAGCTTGCCTTCTGCTCTCTCACCACTGCCATACTTTCCTTTTTCTGTGGCTTATCTCCTTTGTGATTTAGAATTCTTTAAATGCTAGCTTGAGTACCACAGTTGTAAAGATTAAGGGTAGGCCTCCTCCTGGAGTTGCCATCGTTTTCCAGAGGATCCCATCCCTCCATCACTTTTAGGAAGATCTCAAGTAAGGAAAAGTGAGAGCTGCATCCCTCTTTCCTCAGCATCCAGTTATCACAGAATGCCAGAGCTGCAAGTGACCTCAGAGCTGCGAGAGATAAACCAAAGCCCCCATTTTAAAGATAACGTGAAGCCAAGAAGGAGACGGTGTCTTTTCCGGTTCATGCCACGATCTGTCGATAACTATGCGCGTCCCTGCCCGGAGAAGAAACAGGGAGGAGGAAATGAGGAAAACGCTGAATCACGGATCGTTGCCTCAGCTCTCTGAGGTCCCGGCGGCCGCGAGGCGGCGAGGCCACCGTCCAACCCGGGCCGGGTCTGCCCCTCGGCTTCACCAGCCAGAGCGGCGGCGGCTCAGGCGCGCCACGGGCAGCCGCAGGGGCCTCTCCTGCGCCGGCGCTGGGGGCCTCCTCCATTCTCCCTCGGCGCTGGGAACATGGCGGCGGTCGCGGGGAGGGCCCTGCTGCGAGGAACGGTGCGGGGGCTGGTGCTCCCGCGACTCGCAGGGGGCACCCCGGGCCCGGAGCGCGACTTCAGCCTCTCTCACAATCGGGTGAGGGCCAGCTCTGAGCTCTGGGGGTCCTCGCCTCAGGTGGGGCTCTTTACGCCCGAATACTGTTCTGGGGGGCCGCGGCCTGGCTGTGGCGGGCTATCCATGTGCCGGCGGCTGAGGGCGGCAGGGGGTTCTCCGGGAGACTCGCTCACCCTCGCTCCCCGGCTGCCAGGGCACGGTCATCGTGGAGCGCTGGTGGAAGGTGCCGCTGGCCGGAGAGGGCCGGAAGCCGCGCCTACACCGGCGACACCGGGTCTACAAGCTGGTAGAGGACACGAAACACGGGCCCAAAGGCAGCCTGGAGCTCATCCTCACGCAGTCGGTGGAAGGTAAGGCCCAGCAAAGATACTTCCTATCTTAGGCTGGCTCTGTTTGGCATCAGCTTTTCCCTGCCGTCCCCTCTTAGCTGTTTCTCGTCCTTTCTCTACTTTGTAGAAATGATCTCTATATTTGAGAGGAAGAAGCCATAGAAAGGACTATGGTTGTGTCCTTGCCTTCCTGCATAGAAAAAGAAACGTGAATGCGACAACATCAGTAACAGTGCGTGGAGGGAAAAGGAGGCTTAACAGCATGTGCTACAATTCCTGAAATCCTGTTAAGGGGCAACTCTCACTTTGTACAGGGAATATTAAATTTCGAAATCAGGCCCTAAGAAACTAACTAGAAGTCTTTAAGTGTTGTTCTTAGTGAACATTTTTTTCTGGGAGGAATAACTGCTATGAGAGAATGATAGATGAGTCTTTCTTTGATCCTCTCCTCCTCTTTAGGTACTCCTAGGTAGTCTGATCCAGTGTCTGTTCTTATTGGCAGGACTTGGAGTCCGGGGTGACCTGGTCTCAGTGAAGAAATCTTTGGGCCGGAATCGACTACTGCCTCAAGGTCTGGCTGTATATGCATCCCCTGAAAACAAGAAACTGTTTGAGGAGGAGAAATTGGTGAGCGCAAAGGAAGGCAGAGGGACTTGGAGGAATAGAAACCTTAAGAGTTCATCTAACAACTTCCTTTCCTTTGCTGTCTAACTTAAAAATGAAATAGGGATTAGAAGAACAGGAACCCAGAAACTCAGCCTATATCCAGCATAGTAAGTTCGATATTTATCATGGACTCATTTTTCTTTTCTTTTTTTTTTTCATCTTTAACTTTCTTTTCTAGCTGAGACAAGAAGGAAAATTAGAGAAGATCCAGACCAAGGCAGGTGAGATGGTGAGTAAAAACATAGAAAGTTGTTACTTATTTGTCACCTAAGGAGTCACCAATTTCTTCCTGAGAGGCTCCTTGATTTCCTTGAAGTCTCCTGATTTCAGAGACAAGTGTAGGAGAAAGAGGAAATGTTTGGCTGCCATAACTGGTATTGAGACCTCCTGGGAGATCCTAACTTGTTGGGTGAAGTGCCCTAGCTTATCGAGAAAGGCTGCAGCCTGATTACCAGGGGACCCATGGAAAAGTGTGAGATGAGGGCTCTGCCTCCATTGATATTTACAGACAAGTCACAGAGAACATAGACACATGAGAACGTGATCAGTAAGCTCAAGGCGGTAGATTATAAGAATGACATAGATCAGGGGCGCCTGGGTGGCTCAGTTGGTTAAGCGACTGCCTTCGGCTCAGGTCATGATCCTGGAGTCCCTGGATCGAGTCCCGCATCGGGCTCCCTGCTC